CCGGTTTAAACCGGTTAGCTTGTGTGTGTGTGTGAGTGTGTGTGTGTGTGTGTGTGTGTGTATGACAGAGAGAAGCTGAAGCTGGTTTTAACCCTTCAGGTGCTGGAGCAGGCGCAGGGCTTCCACACTGACGGCCATTATACAGTGTGTGCGTATGTGTGTTTGTGTGTGTGGTGTGGCGGGGGTGGGGTGTTGTGATGACATTATTAATTTCTGGCGCATATAGCTGTGAAATGATGCTGCTGGAAGGAATTAGACATGGGGAACGCCACCCATCCCCGCACCAACCTTACACGGGCACTGACCCCATCTTTGTAATGGGGGATCTTTAATGGCTGGCAGGTTTCACATTTCATCTTCATGGCAGTTTACACACACAATTCCTTCAAACCCTCTTCGCACACGCGCGCGCACACACACACACACACACACACACGGTGGAGCATACCACCTCCAACCCAAGAACTTGACATCACATGCAACCAGTGCAAAACCTCTGAAAGCAACCGAAAGCAAAACTGAACTTTACATGTCTCACAAATTCAGGCTATATAGCCAAACTTAACTGCTCACTTTTCACACACACACACACACTAAGAGGAAAAGCTACATTGTCCACTTCAATATTACACTTGTTACAGCAGCAGGCGGAGTGATTAGTGTCATGGTATGATCTGAATCACATTGTATACAACATTATCCTGTTAAATATTCAAATCAGATGGAAATCCTCAAACAGCATTAAACGACACTGCAAAGACTTGACAGCACAGCGAGAGATCGCGCTCATAATTCTCACGGCGGCTGGGCTGACTGGTTGATTGTCACTTCTTTAGTACATTTTCACCAGACCAAAGGTTTACCATCTGCATTTCTACCCAAAGTAGAAACATTCACTTGATTTCGACCTGAAGTTGCACTGTCCCTTTGGTGTCTGGTGAAAAGAAGTTACATTTTTCTGTCCTTGAATGATAACGCCATTTTTTCCCCCACTAGTGCCTACTCGACTCAACTCTACTCGACACTTAGGTGGTAGTACCTGGTACTTTGCTAGTATCTACTTAGCCGGGGTTCTAAGCGAGCTGAAAATGTAATGTCAACAGACTGCATGCCACTGACTGGCCAGAAAATGATGTCATTGGATGAGTCATGAGAGAGACTCCTTTGCAAGAATCAAACTCGTCATTTTTGAACCCCGGATACAAGGAAAAAGACTCCACACTAACTGACACTGTCCACCAACGACGAGGTGCAGACGATGTCCTCCATTGTTGTGTTGTTTTGTGCCGCATACTCACAGTGTGATGGCATTCAATTGCAATGGAAAACGACCGAAACCGATTCGAGTTGAGCAGAGTAGGTGCTAATCTAAAAGAGCCACATGAGCCACCCAACTGAAGCCCATTAGATATTAGACAAAAACATCTGAATGCACACTGTCGTTGCATTACTAAAACTCTTTATCAGTGTTTTTAAAAAAGGGTAACATAAATAGCTGTAATTTAATGACATTGAAGAACAAAGTTAATCCAAGATTCTGCAGGTTTTGCAAAATGTAATGTCTTGCAGTTTCGTCCTAAAGCCACAAGTCTGTACTTGTAAAACTAGACTTCAGTTGGTCTTCCAGTTTTACAGGGACACAACAATGTAGGAAAACACGGCATCACTGCTGCTTTCAGAGACACATTTTCCAAAATGATGGCAATTTAGATTTTTTTTCCAATAAAGTTGCCGTGTGCACACTGTGCTTTCCAACATTTAGTTGTGTTTTGGAGGTTTCCATGTGCACACTACAAGAATGCCCACAAGACTGGTCCTCTAACAAGTCCTGCCCATGTCACTATATTGTTTAAGAAGTGACCATTAATGAGAATTGACGTGGCCCATACATCCGTGTAAGACGCCTGACCAACAGTAATACGAACGGCACATATGCAAGTTGACTCAGTGTCCAGAAAGTTGCCAATCCAACTCTGGTCAGCTGTCTCAAATGCCTGATAAACATTTGAATCCTTTTTGTGACATTTCTCCAATCAAACCCAATCATCTCATTAACAACTGGAGTGTATTTAAATCACAGTGATCACTGCTACATTATCAAGGTGCAAAGTGCTACTTTAATCTAGCATCAGGTTCCTACCACTACCAGGGTGTTGTCTTCTCTGTCTTTTTCTCCTGCTATGAGGCAGTTATTTATCACACTGATCCTGTCAGCTATCAGTCAATCATCTTCACTCACACCAGCAGCCTCGCTCTCAATTATCACTGATGTCCACCTTTACATGCAGTATGTGTTCAGCACTTTATTTACCCACGAGAGACCTTTTACCCTGTGAACACATATTTCTACATCACACGGGGGCTTCAGGAAACCATGCAACTATGCGGCCACTCTACCTTGGAAAACTGCTGAACCAGCAAAGTATTCGTTTCCATTACCTGGTTGCATCTGTCAGAATAACAAATGATAGCAATGATAGTGTCCACGCACTAACTAAAAAGCAAAACCTTCGCGGCCCCACTCACAATAGAAGAATGTCATCGGAGGTGTATGCTTAAATAAGATGTTGCTTTGGAGCTAGTTATGGCCAAAGCTCACTTTTGTGGGTCACTGACTTGCTCAGTTAAATAACTTCAGATCTTGAGAGCTCAGAGCTTCACACGGCAGCATCTACACGAAACGAACTGAAAAGGCAATTAGGGAGCAACTTGCTCCACACGTATTTGATGACGTCTCTAATGTTTGACCAAACAGGTCGCCCTGTGACCCCCAGTAGTTATGTGGAGCAGCTCGAAATGTGGCTAGCAGATGACCCTTTACAGAACAGTAGCTGACTGCACAACAGCCCTGAACCAGCCTTGTGTGTCTGTGTGTGTGACAGAGACATCGCTGGAACAGTGCTTTCTGGAATGGCTGAAAATTCATGCGCTGTCTCTGACTCACTCAGTCTTGTCATTTGAATACAAACAACACAATCACTCTGGGGTGGATAGTACTACTACTGCATCACGTTGCAGATGCACAGTTTCTACACAGGAAGGACAGGTAGCTCAACAGCCAAAGCGCTCCCCTCTCCTCTGACCGCCCCCTTCCCTTCACTAAAGGCAACCTGCACACTGTTGACATGTAAATAATGCTTTACAGGGCCTTTGTTCACACAAACAAGCGAGGGTTCATTCCAGATCACCACAAAGAGGCAATAAAAGTCTCCTAAAAGCAGCAGCTCGCTTTTGCAACAATGCCATCCCCAGCTTACATGGCATGCATGGGACTTTTAAGTGGCTGCATTGTGTTGCAATGAGAACTAACAGAAACTGATAGGAATCGGACAGAAAACCTAGATTTGTTTTTATTTTATTTTTTATAGCCGTCTTAGTCTTACAATAGTAAGACTTTTAACCACATATTTGTAGATTTTTGGATCATTTTCACAAGCCGTCTTAATTTTATAATAATTATTTTTTAATGAATAAAAGACGATTACGTAGCTTAACAAGAAGAACTTCACTGCAGTAACTCTGATTGTGGCTCACACTTTCAGGCATTAATGCTACTTGGAAAACAAGTTGATACAAGTCAGCAGACATTAGTCAGCTATGTCCTCTGCAGGTGACGGTATGCAATAAGACGCTGAAAATCAATCAACTGCAAAACTAATTAATTAATTAACCAATTAAAGGCTAAACGATCGCGACTCAGCAAGAGTAACCAGTGCCGTCACAACACGGCGTCAGTCCGCGTGTGGCTCGCTGCACACACCATGAGCAACGCCGGCTTCCGTCACGTTCAGCCATTAGATATCCCCACGTTTTAAATCCACCTCAGCGCGTCCGCATGAACGGACAGCACAAATTTAGCGGCGAACTGGTGTGACGGCAGAAATCCTGAGCCCACAGCTTTGTCCCGAAGCGCTGCAAAAACTCGTGCTGTGGAAATGTGTGCACGCGCCTGTGTGTGTGCGTGCGTGCTCCTGTCTGGCTGAGAGGAAGAGACAGAGAGGGGAGTGTGTGCGGTGTGTGTGAGAGAGAGTGTGTGTGTGTGTGTTCAGCTTTAAGAGGAGGAAGACTACGGTTGTCACAGAGAGAAGTAGGAAGATTAGCTACCAGATAGCAGAACCAATACTGGTGCCACGGGGCTTAAAGCGGGCAGCGGCGTCCACCATTAACGTTTCCAGCCGCCAGTACACAGTCCAAAAAACCAAACTCAGCCCTTTAAAAACTAAACCCAGCCCACACTTACATGTGCAACTAGCCGGCTTTTTTATTATTGACACCGCCTCGGAGGAGGTGTGCGTGTTATTAGTTAGCGAGCTAACATTAGCTACATCGCACAAACAAAAACACGAAGCCACTTTTAGCTCGGATAAAGGCACTCGGTGTGTGTGACCACCAGCGGCTGCCGGACACTTTAAGCCAAACTACTGAAAGTCCTCCGAGCCGGGGCAAGCCGCTCGTCAACATGACCCCCACACACAACCAGAACCGAGCCCGAATCGTTGACCTGGCTCGCACCCCCGATGCGGGACAGCCGTCGAGCTCAAAAAGGACCCCCAAACTTTCGCGATACTGCCCTAAAAGTGCGGCTTCAGGAGGCTCACCGGGACGGTTTACCTGTCTGTCCCCTCCCGAGGAAAAACCTTCGAGTCGGAACTCATAAATTTCATCGACCGGCCCAAGGACTGAGCCGCCGCCGCCGACGACCGTCGAGCCGCTGGCGATGTAACGTTGTAATCCTTACCTCGTTAAACGACTTCTACCGCACCAAATCAAGTCCAGCCATCACATTTACTCGCCGGTGCTCCTGAGGAAACATTAAATAAAAGAAATTTTGGCTGAGCGAGCCCCCCCTCTTCTCCTCCCCAGTGCTCAACCTTTGGCTCTGCGGAGAAGTGTTACTTTTCAACAGCCCATCAGCTTCTTTATCGTCACAGATAGGTGGAGGAAAACCTGGCTCCTCTCGACGAGTCCGAATAAAAGGCTCCTCTCGATCCCCTCACTAAAAAAACTTCAGCTTCACATAAGTCAACTTACTCGGTAGCTTTGTCTCCCGTTCTTCGCCGATGGTCGACCAAGGAATGTTTAATCTGCAGTTAACCTCGATAAATCGTTGCTTTTTTGAAATCCAGGGGATATCCTCTTTTTTTCGGCCCTCCCCGCTGCCGCGTCTGTTGCCAAATAATGCGCCTCAACACACATGGAGCCGCTGCGTCCTCTTAGTGGGCATGCGCACCTCGCCATACCAGGGCGACCGGATCACATCATGTAAGTCACTGACCACGGAGGGCCAAAGCGGGACGACAATGTCAGGGCCCCCCGGGGTCCCCGGAGTGACCCGTGAGTGTACCAGCAAGTGTACAGATCCCCTCCAATACACACTCACACACACACACACTGTTACAGTACTGACCCATGAATATGTAAAACACCACATATTTCATCCCAAACACTCACTAGCATCCTCTTTGAATCACCACAGCTTCTACGGTGGCTCTAACTCCAAGTCAGGACTCAACTCACAGATGCCAGAGTGGCTTTATTGCCAGCCTTATGAGCACGCTTCAAACTTAGCATGTGGACAAATAATCAATTTGCACACAAAACAAAGCGGACAGCAGCTGCAAGAGCGAGGAGACAATCTGCTCAACTGCACCCGAGCCCGGACCCTTAAAGGTCTCCAAAGTGCAAGCAAATGCTGATTTATTTCTACTTAAAGTACATTATGAGCTTAATGGGGGTGGTCCTGTTTTATTTCATAATGTTGAATCTGTGCCTGGCAGAGGCGAATGTGACTAAATTGATTTATCAAACCCTTATTTATTATTATTATTATTATTTTTTTTTTTTTTGCTATGTTGTGCTGATGTAGTCCATATAGACACGTATTTAATCACGTTAGTGGTTCATGTTGTCTTTACATGCCTGATTAAAGCTCAGATTGTTCACATTCACACAGTCAGTGAGTGATGCATAGTAAACATGCAACCCAGCAATTTAATGTTTGCATTGTACATGATGGTTTGCAGGGTTTAATGGGGGGGAGGGCAGCTGCAACCCCCCCCCCCCCCCAGACTTAGATGTCATGTGGGGAGTAAATATACATATAAATACTCCATAAACACATTGTCTGCTGAGCTCAGTCTGTGATCTTACACAAGCAAAGTCAGCGCCATGTTTACCTTCAGTGTCTCTACAGCAGTAGTGTATCAGCGTCACATCCTCAGCATCGTGTAATTATCCGGCCTCACATTTGTCTCCCTGACCTCAAATTATGATCTAAGGTAACCATCCTCACTTATCTCCTGATTCAGAGTCACTGTGTGCAGCAGCATGTGATGCAACTCAGAATAGATCCAAGTCCTGAACCCAAACATTAAGGCTATTTGTGTCTCTCTTTACAGTGAAGAAGGTGTGTGTTTGTGGTGGGTGGGGGGGGGCACAGATGAGGTTTGCTTTAAAGAGCGGTCAGCCAGCCCTGCAGTTAGAATCAGATCCAAACATGCAAGTCCAGAGCACTCTCAGCTGGGTTATACTATGCCAGTGACAGAGTCCCTTCTGTAAAAGCTCCAGCTGGCGTGCTCTTTCATGACAAGACCTGCATCGCTTCAAAGCATCCCTGTGAACTGAACTCATCCTCATTCGTCCACTACCGTGCATATAAATGGACATCCATATGTAAACGTGTGTGTGCCTGGAATACAGCGATCTAAGTACGACAGAAGTCCATAAAGACTGAGCGGGAGCGGGAGTGCTAGCCTCCAGGTGGGTACAGAGGGGGGTGGTTAGAAGTGCTTTGTCAGCCTCACCCTCCCATTCTTTAAATGACAACAAAAAGAGCTCTCTCTCTAGATGTTGCTGTGTCATTGGGTCTGATTGTTTCTGTCCTCTCATCCCACTGTTCCATCTCCTGAGGCTACAGATTGTCTCGTGTAAAGCAATCACATCTGTAGCAAGGGAGCCATCTTCACATAATCACCCAGCACAAAGAAAAAAAATCAAATTAAGATGAGGGGGGGGGGGCGAGGCGGTCTTGAGTTTACAGGTTGTGATGAATCTTTCTGTAAATATTGCTCCTCCTCCTCCAGCAGACCCATAGAGAAGAACTGCGTTATCCCAGCTCTATTAAAAAACAATCAGGGCTGTGAGTTGCACTTGAGAACACTGAAGTCATCTCTTCTGTGTTATTTTTGGTCACTTTCTGCAACCCCTGGGGGAAGTTTTTCCAAGCCACAAGTCAAAGCACTTTGAATGAAAAGACTTCAAAGCGGAGCGGTCCACCTCTGGAAGAGGTCTAACAAGGTGGAAGCCTTGCCAGACTTTTTTTTGTTTTTTTAGGATACATAAACTGAAGATATTAGATGTCTGCTATTGACATTTAGTGAACATTTGCTTTTGGGATATAAAATACAGAAAATACAGTTCACTTGGGACAGGCTTGGACTGACTGACTGATTTCATCAAAGAAATCAGTACATTTATGTTAATGACAACGTTGTATCCCGGTAGATATATGAGTGATTCACTACCCCTCCAACAGGAGGGCGTTATGACAATAAATGAGTGAAATCTTGGAGACTTTGGGTGTCTTTGGGTTTTATTCTCGCATTGTGTGGACAGTGTTACACACACACACACTAATTGGCTGATCCATCATTTAATCAAAGTGGATAATTAACCAAACGAACAACCTTGAAGTGAGTACTATTGACAAAGTGTGAAGCCAGAGACTTAATAAGGCTTATTGGGTTACATACATGCTTGTCATGTGATCTATGTTAGAAGTGTAAATAGCTTGTTTAAATAGGCTGGACCTGTTAAGTAACAAAGTAGCTCATAAAGATTATTAAACAAAGCAGACTTTATTCACACACACACACACACACACACACACACACACACACACACACACACACACACACACACACATATATATATATAATATAATTGATATGCTAGTAGGAATGGTGTTTATTAAGGTCAGGATTGTACACTCTGCAAGGTTTTACAGGTCCAGTCCAGGTGGAAAGGGTTCAGCTCAGAAATCATAGTGAGGCGAGGCCAGCCTGCAGCTCCTCTCTCCGTGTGGAGCAGGCCTAATGGCCGCCCGTTACGACATGACAGCTTCAACTTAATCCTCATTAAGCACTGTAACAATGCAGGAAGTAGCAGCAGCAGTCACGATTAGGCGGGCTCACTATTTGGCAGGAAATGGCTCCTTTCAGCAGCTACGTCCAAGACACCTAGAGCGTCCCAAAAGTTTTCACTTCTCACTGTAACCTCTTCCTCCTTCGGTGGAGACAGTCACCCGGCGGCATCGGTGCACGAAAGAATAAAGGAGGAGAGAGGGGGTGGGTGTAGGTGTACTGGGATCAGATTGACTAGAAATCAGGTATTGAGAAAAGATGAGCTTTTATAAGGGGGTCTCCGATGAATGCCGGTATCTGCGTCAGGCTGCCTAACCTCATGTTCGTGGGTGGAAATTTCGTGCTTTTTCTGAACGCGGACAAAGGCAACTGCGCATCAAGTTAACACACATGCACACATTTAGCGAACAGAAGGAGTTATTTGATCATTTTCACATTAAACAAGTTATAAATTTGAAGTCAGGGCGCAGATGTTTGCTGTTCCTGTGAATTCATTTGTAAAAGCTTTGAAGGATTCATGATTCCCACCCTGCTGGCCTTTCTCCAACTTGCGGAAAAATCAATTTAAGCGTCTTTAAAGAGGAAAATTAGTCTACGGGCGTGCCGATCTGACATAACCACCTATAAGAAAGGGATCTATTAAACCAACTCAGCCTGACACCAATTAAGTGTTCATTCAATGTTTTAGGGGTTTCATTGGTGCTATAGGGTCCTCACCAGTTTACATTGTAAACTGCGCTGATGTTACACCATCTTTCTAACGTGTGAATGATTACTGTCTGTTCTCTAATCAGATTACGCAGATGAAGTTTGGCGTAATCACGGTGATAAAGATGTAATGGAGTCTCCACCGCGCGAGCGCATGTGTGTGTCTGTCTCCCTCTGTGGCAGGACTCTGCAGGCTGGCTGCTCACTGAACAGTGAAACCTTGTCTCCCTCTGCCCCCGGTGTGCCTTCATGTCCTACCTCACATGCATGCCTTACCTCAGCAGAGAAGACAGATGGCTGGTTTTCAAAATAACTGCTCCAAATTCATCATCCAGAGTGAATGATGGGCTGTAGGTGTAAAGTGGTGGACGTGTAGCTTTTTAATTTTGTGTACTGAGGTTTGAGAATATGTTGTGGCACACATTTTCACTTTTCACATCTTCTGCAACTCATTCACCAAAATGAAGAGGTTTTAAAAGTGGACCCAGCTTTCACCACACCTGAAACACGAGACCTTTGTTGGCTTTTTGTCTGAGCAGGTGATGGTCTTCACTTCCCTTGTGGTCCTGATGTCATTCACACTTTTCATGCGCTGCAAAGATATTATTAACACAAACAGCGGTTATGTACAGCAGTAGGCTTAATGTGAAATGACTATTTTCTATTCACTGTTCTCACTCCTACATAAGGATGCATATACTGTAGTTTTTCACACCATAACCTTTTCTCCTTAAATTAATCAAATGTAAGATTCAT